AAAAAAAAAAAAAAAAAAACTCCAAAAATGCTACAGTAAATGTAAAAGGACAAGGTGACTTGATGGGGAAGATTTAAGGAAGGGCTGAAGCAGCTAAATCGTGGAGGCCAGGGCCGGGTGCACAGAGCAAGGAGAAGACTCCGCATTCATCACCCTGAGGACAGAGCCCCAGGGTGGGACCTGCCTCAGGGTCCAAGAAAGATGAGAAGCAGTAGGCATTGTGCACAGCTGTGTACAGTGCTGAGTTCTGCAGCTGGTTGCATTCAGCTGTGTTTAGCTACACTGCATTCCTCTGGTGATGCTTACGGGCATAGGCAGTGCCATGCTGGGCAACCACTGTGACTTAGCATTACAGCAGCCAAGCCTCCCCACTGACCACGGAATCAAAGTAACCTGTATGAGAGAAACACATGTGCTCGCCAAGCAGGGCAGGGAAAATTCGACCAGATAATGTAGGTGACACACGTGGTCGTGTCTCTGTATATAGTCAGAACTTGATACTGGCCGGGCGCGGTGGCTCACGCCTGTAATCCCAGCACTTTGGGAGGCCAAGGCTGGAGGATTGCCTGAGCCCAGGAGTTTAAGACCAGTCTGGGGAACATAGCAAGATCTTGTCTACAAAAAAAAATTAGCTGGGTGAGGTGGCACACGCTTATATTTCCAGCTACTTTGGGGGCTGAGGCGGAAGGATTGCCTGAACCCAGGAGATAGAGGCTGTGATGAACTCAATAAATATTTTTACTGGTAAAAATAAAAATGGTACTATATGCCCGTTTTCCACACATACTCTTTGGACCCTCAAAGACATGATGGGCGTTTGTCTAGCTCTGCTGGGGCCACCCTCTTCATGCAGCAGGCATGTCTAGAAGCTTCGTGGCACAGAGGACACACCTCTTCTGGCCCATATGCCGCCCAAGCACAATCAGGGCAATATCAACTGGCTGTCCTATGAGATCAGTAAACTCTGTTCAACTCTGCAGTGCAGTGCTTGGGGATCTTTTGAAATTTTTTTTCTGCCTTCCCTCCAGGCCAGGAGTCCGCCACCACACTCCAGAAAAGCTTTGAACCCACTGGTTTCCAGAACTCGCTCTCTGGATTGTACAGCCCCGTCGTGTTCTCGGCCGCAGGAACCAGCCTGACAGAGGCACGCCTCTTCTGTCTTCTCGCCTGTGACCGTGATTCCTGCTGTGATGGCTTCATCCTCGTGCAGCTCCGAGGAGGTAATCCTGACAGTGAGGAGACTAACAAGGAAGGGAGGGGGGACACACACAGGGACGCAGAAGCCATGGAGCTGCCTGTGGCGCTGACCTGTGAGGTGGCCCAAACAGAAGGTGATATTCACATACAGAAAGTCGGGGCAAACCCTGACCCTTCCACGTGTCACGTACCGCGCGGGCCACCTCACGTTGTAACGTGGGCTCACTCCTTACTGCTATCTTCAGGGGAATATCGTGCACTCCATTTTACAAATCGGGAAACTGAGGCTGGGAGCATTTCCATTGCCCGCTTGTGGTCGTGCCATTTGCAAAGTGATAGAACTGGGATTTGGCCCGAGGGATATGGGCCACAGCATCTTCCTGCCTCCTGTGAAAGCCGGGCCGGTCACGTTTGATTAAAAAAAAAATGAAAGCTCACTCCTATTGCTCACGATCATTCATTCAACAATTATCTGTTGAGTACCTACTGTATGCCATATCCTGTGATAAGTATGACTTTCATTTTTGATAGTCTCCTGGTGGTGGGGATGCATTTCTGTTTATAGAGATAAACCCATGTCCTTGGCAATGTAGCTGTGATTGAGAAGGGACTTCGGTGTCACAGACCTGGGTTCTAGTCACGGCTCTGTCATTTCACGGCTATGCAACCGTGGACAAGTTGTGTTAACTAAAAAGCAGTTCCCTTGTTCATAAGATAAAGATAATCTTTTCTACTGAATTATTGATACTTGTTGTAAAGGAAGTGAGTGCAAAATGCTGGCCATGGGTCTGGCTCCTGGTAGGCTATGGATTTACCTCCGGAGGGTCTTTCCTGTTCCACATGCAAGCCAATGCTACCCTTTCCTTAGCAGCATCTGTCACCAGCTCTGTGACTGGCCACATGAAGCTTACAGAGAATTCTAGAGATTAGAAAAAAATCGAAGTCCGACCTGTCTTGTCATGGCCCTCGCTTCCAAAAACAACAGACTTTCAGGGAGTGCCCTATGTGTGCAAACCAATGACCTGGGAGTTCGGATGAGATAAAGGGTCTTAGAGTTTGGTGGGAGAGGCAGGACCATAAAGGGAGCACGGCCTCCGCTGTCTCATTTGTCCCGGCTGTCATTCAACCCACGAGCAGCACTTATTAAGGCACCCAACCGGATACACCAGGCAGCATGCAGTGAGGGCCCAATATGAGTAGAGAATTAGGAGCCTCGGCGTGCAGGGAGGGAGATGCCAAGGGGATGCAGTGGCCAGGGAAGGCTTTTTGGGAGAGGAAGGGCTAGGGCCAGATTTCGTGGGTGGGATGAGCAGAATCTAGGGGACAGAGAGGAAGGGAAGTCTGGGCCAGCATGGGCATCTGTGTGAGCTCAGCTAGGGACAAAGTCCGTATGTTCTGAAGACTGTCACTCAAGATACTGGCTGTGTGGGAAGCAGAATTTTTCAATGTTGACCATGCATAACTCCCAAAGCCATGGCCACCTCCAGCCCTCCAGGCTGAGGGTGGAAAGGCCCCTTCTCCTGTGAAGGACCAGCCCTACCTCCTGGGTGCTGGAGCCCACTGCCCCACCCACTCAGGGCCCTGCTGCTCTCCCTTCCTCTCTGTCCAGGTCTCCACCCAGTGCCCTCCCCGACTCCCCACTCTAAGACATGTACAATGGTCTTAGTTCCTTCCCCTTCTTAAAAGCCAAAACACACAGGACACCATGAAGCCCTGACCTCCTGTCTTCCCTCGAACGCCCTGCTGTGGCTCTCCTTCCCGTCCACAGCCAGGCCCTGCCAGCTTGACCCCGTCTCGCCCCAACACTGCTCCTGCCCAACTCACGGGTACCTGGGGGCATCTTCCGGTCCTTCTCAGCCTGCTTGGCCCTGGCAACTGACACTGTTGCCCGCTCTCCAGTCCTTCCAGCTCTTTCCTCTTTGAACTTTTTCTTTTCTGTTTTGAGTTGACATCTCACTACCTTGCCCAGGCTGGAGTGTAGTGGCATGCTTGCAGCCACCCCAGCATCGACCTGCTGGGCTCCAGCGATCCTTCTGCTTCAGCCTTCAAAGTAGCCAGAACTACAGGTGCGCTACCATGCCTGGTTAGTTTGTTTTTCATTTATTGTAGAGACGAGGTTTCGCCAAGTTGCCCAGTCTGGTCTCGAACCCACGGGATCAGGCAAAGTGCTGGGATTACAGGCTGTGCCACCGAGCCCGACTCCTCTTCGGACTTTCTAGATGCCCTTTCCTGCTCTTAGGTGACGCCTTCCCCTGCCATTCTGCTTCCTGGGTCGATTCTGTAGGTGCTGATGGCAGGAAGCTCTGCCCGCATGCCCTGTGGCGGGACCCTGTTCTGGCCAAAACCTCTCTGCAGGGTCCGCCTCAGCTACTCGTCTGCTGTCAGGGTGTATTCTCTTGGACGTGCCGTAGGTACCTCAAAGTTGAGCAACCAGGTTGTTTTTACCCTCACTGAGCCTGTTGCCTCACAGCCCTCATTCTCTGCTCCTTGGTCACCCAGATTTCCTGTGGCTACCGCTGCTTGTCTTTGGGGTCAAGGTTTAGTCCATCCCACCGCCACTGTTGACATGTAGACCTGTATTATTTTTGTTTCTTGGCAGTTGTGCCAGTTTCTTAATTACTCTCTCACGACCTCCATGAGTGCCTTTTGCATTGCTGTAAAAGAGGTTGAGTCGTCTGCAAAGAAAAGAGGCTCATTCTGGCTCATGTTTCTTCAAGAAGCATGGCGCCAGCATCAGCTTCTGGTCAGGACCCCGAAGGGGTTTACTCATGGGGGAAGGCGAAGGGACAGCAGACGTGTCACACGGCAAAAGAGGAAGCAGGGGAGAGAGGAGGAAGTGCCAGATCCTTGGAAACAACCAGCTCTCAGGGCAACTAGGAAGGCAAGAACTCACCCATGCCTGCGAGGACAGCAACAAGTCCTTAGGAGGGATTCTTCCTCGTAATTCAGTCACCTCCCACTGGGCCCTACCTCCAGCACTGGGGATCACTTTTCAACATGAGATATGAAGGGGACAGACACCCAAATCCTATCACCATCAACCCCCAAACACTCATCTCTGGCTCCCTGTCCTCCAAGTCATCCGATTCAACCTCAAGTCCTACACATGACTTCCTGCCTGGTGATACAATTGTGTCCCTTCTCGCTGTATCCAAGTCCACATGTCCATTTTCCTGTTGGATTAAAACTCCCCTAGGACATGAAATAGCCCTTTGCCCTCAGCTTTTAGGGGAGGTGTGCTCACTGTTGGTGCAGAGTAATGTTGGTGAATTGGGTGGGTCCCCGAGGGGGAAGCGACTACCCATGCCCAATTCCAGGGGTCAGCAAGGTGAGTAGAACTCGGCTTTCCTGACTCTTGGAGCTTGTGTTCTCATCCCCTGCCTCTACCATTTTCTCTCGGGTCTGGAGAGAAAAAGGGATACTTGCTCATCGCAATGCTCTGAAGAGAAGCTAAATATGACTTTGAAAACATATGATAAATGTTTTTTCCCAATTCAGAGAGATCAATGAAGACTTCCTTAAAACTTGAATGATGTGCAGGGTCAAGAGGTGAGGAGAAGAGGGAAGACAGTTCTAGATGGAGAGAACAGTGTATGCACAGGTCTTGTGGGAGGAAAATGCATGAAAAAGGAGAGAGGGCATGGGGAAGCCATGGTCTCTGGGGCAGGGAGAGGAAGACGGGAGGCTTAGGGGAGTGGGAAGAGGCAGGGACAGACAGTGGGGAAACTTCTAGGCTGCATGACACTTCCTGACTTAAAACTTTCAGTGGCGACCAGTGGTTTTTATTCTAAAAACCACTGGTCGACACTGAAAGTTTTAAGTCAGGAAGAGTCATGATCAGATTTGAATTTTGAAGCCAGCACCCTGCTTGAAGCAAGCATCCGTGGAGCCCACGGATGGGGGTTAGAATGGACGTAGGGAGATGAATTAGGGACCACCACAGTAGTCTAGGTAAGAAAGGGCGTGACTTGGGCTAGGTGACAGCAGGGAGGATGGGGAACTGGAGAGATTCAAGATACCTCTAGGCAGCAAATTCATCAGGACTTTAGATATGGGGCTTGAGGAAGAGGTGGCAAAGATTATTCCTGGGTATCTAGCTTGTTCACCTGTTGTAGGTGGATGATGGAAAATATCAGATATCCAATTTGGTGATGGGAGAGGAAGATTCAGAAAGGTCATGCGTCCATTTGGGGTACACTATGTCTGAAGTGCCTTTGAGACATCCACACAATGTGGGCTAAGTTTTGGGATGCCAGGATCCAGAGTTCAGAAGGAAAGTCTGGGTGAGAGACATACATGTGTGAATTGCCAGCATGGAGATGGTATCCGAAGGTGTGGGTATGGAGGGATCTCCCCAGAGGAGGGTGAGGCTGAGAGGGTGAAGGAAGTCGGGACTGAATGGTTCCATGAGGGTAGAAAATCTGTCAATAGACGGAAAAGTCACAGCCAGATGGGGAGGAGGAGACCAGAGAGTCCCACGAGACCAGCGCTTCAGGGGAACCTCAGTGGGGGAAGGGTGGACAGGGAGGAAGTGGTCAATAGTCTTGGGCACTGCTCAGAGTTCAAACAAGGTGATTCCAGGAAAATGCAGAGTCTAGCTCACAGCGGTCAGTGGCTAAGATGAGAATGTTTTGTTGGAGTGCAGGAACACAGATTGGAGTGAGCTGGTTCCTACAATTCCTTCCAGGTGTGACGCTCTACGATTATGAGATGTGGATTCATAGTAGTGTTTATATGGGAAAATATGTTATGCATACACACACAGGCACGTGCACACACCCGTAACGTATGTCGCTGCATATACCTATATTTAGAAATACTGTAATTCAAATCCAGAATTCCTTCTTTGAACTCAATATATTTTCTGAGGGTCCCACCATTTCCCCAGATGCATGATTACTCACCAGACCATATGATTTTTTAAGCTGGAAAAGTTGATTTCATTTTCCTTAGGATCATATATGGAAGAATGTTTTTGTTCCCTGGAGCAGTGAGCCCACAGAATCCTTTTTTTCCATGGCTTTTCTGGCATACAGCTTGCCTGCTTGTCCCTCCAAGTCTAACCTGTGATCTGTGAATTATGTTAACCTGAGCAACCGCCTGGCAGGGCTGAAAGTCAAGTCTTCTTTGAGACACACATGAAGTACTGGGCAGACGTTTCTCCAGTCTTGTCCAATGGGCAGATTTGGGGTTTTAACTTACACAGCTTGGCTGGACCCGCTGACGACCAGGAACATGGTCTGGAGAGTCATTTAACTCTGAAAGAGTCTCCCTCCTCCTTCCCTCCCTCCCACTCCCACCCCAGCAAATCTCCAGGCTCTCTGCCCTTAAATGACTGACTCTGTTTCCATCCTAGTTTCAGCTGAGGTTCCTTGGGGGGGCTGTCTTAAGGTCTTTGGTGGTCTGAGGGTTCCAGAGGCTAGCAGTGTGTGATACAAAGTGATTTCCAGTCTCTCCCAGGCCCCCACTCTCAGCCACAGACTTCTGGAGGACATTTGGCACCAGTTAGAGAAGAAAGCCGCATAGGCTTCTCTACTGAGAACTGAGAGCCTCTTGTTTAATTCCACCATTCTGTCTTCTGGCTCGCGAGAGAACCAGACCACAGCGCTCAGACTTCCTGGAGTGCTGCGGGACTCTGACTGTGCCCCATGCTGGGGCTGCCCTCGGGCTCCATGGCTATTTCCGTCTGCACTTTGCCAAGGCTCTCGTTGCCCACTAGCCATCCAGTGATTTCTCAGCACCTAGAAAAACCATTCTCCTGTTCTGTCCCTCAGTTTCCCCATCTGTGAAATGAGGCGGTCTAACTAGGTCAGTGATTCTCTGTGGTACTCTTTACTGATACTGATTCCCAATTTTCTCTCCACACACACGTGACTTACTAAGTCAGAAACTCAGTGGTTGGTGCCTAGGAATAAGCGTTTTCAAGACTCTCCCTGTGTTTTTGAGATCATCAGTTTAAGTACCCTGGTTTGGGAACCACCTGCTCAGAGCACTGTGAAGACTATTTTTTTTAATACAGAGATGCTACTGCTGGTGGTTTTTTAACTACTGTGCTTTCAACATGGCCAGTGGAAGGGAAGAGGACAAAACGTGAAATTCACAAGCCAGACACCCATGAGTCACCCACTCTGGGGAAATCTTGGCGATAGAATGGTTTGAGGATATATCCGGATTTGGACACAAACTAGGAAATTAGAATAAGGGAACAAAGTAGGAGTTGTGGAATGATATATTTCCTTTTTTTCAGGATTGTCTGAACAACTGTACTACTTAGAAGGATTATTAATTCAAATTATATGTAAATTATTTTTTATTTTATTTTTTATTTTTTTTGAGTTGGAGTCTCACTCTGTCGCCCAGACTGGAGTGCAGTGACTGCTCCCGGCCACCGCAGCCTCAACCTGCTGGGCTCTGGCGATCCTTCCGCCTCAGCCTTCCAAGTAGCCGGAACTACAGTTGCACACTACCACGCCCAGCTAATTTTCTGATTTACTGTAGAGATGACATCTCACCAAGTTGCCCAGGCGGGTCTCGAACCCGCAGGTTTAGGCTATCCACTCACCTCAGCCTCCCAAAGCGCGGGATTACAGGCTGAGCCACTGAGCCCGGCAAATTATTTAATTTGCAGATCAGAGTAAAATGAGACTCAGTTTCCTCAGTAGTAAAAATGAAGTTAGTAATGTCTACAAGAATTATGGGAATTAGTGTACTTAATGCACTTGCCATTGGGGCTGACACATAGCAGACATCAAAAAACATTCAAGTTAATTGAATTTATCCAACTAAAATCACTATCAATAAGTTGCATTATCCTGGGGGAAGACTTGCTAACGCTGAATAAAGCCATAACTTGAGGGTAGCTTTTGGCAATTTAGGCTTGAAAGACATATTCAAGACAAAATAGTCCAATGTCTCCCCTGATTATAGATTTCCTTCTACTTATCTCAGACACATGGACACACGCTTCGGCTTGGATACATCCAGAGATGAGGTGCTCACTTCCTAAAAGGAGTGTTTGTGTCATTGGTGCACAGTTCTGATTTTTACTAACTCCTTACTTTGAATCTAAATATTCCTTCAGGAGACCCTTCAAGGTTGATCTCCGTGTGTGTGTGTGTGTGTGTGTGAGAGAGAGAGAGAGAGAGAGAGAGGAAGAGAGAGAGAGAGGAGTGGAGAGAGAGAAAGAGAGGGAGAAATGGGGTGGAGGGAAGAGAGGGGAGAGGGGAAGGGGGAGAGAGGGAGAGGGAGAAGAAGGAAAAGAAGGGACCATGAACCAGCAGACATAGAAGCAGCAACAGCAGTAGCAACTCACAGAAATGGCTCTGCTAGGTGGGGTAGAACATGGAGATGGAAGTTTCTGGCCGTGACACCCCTGGGGTCATCCCCTGCTGTCACTGCTGCTGAGCCCATGAAGAAAGGTTCTGATGGAAAGGGAAAATGCCATCAGGCATGGCAGTGGTCTCCCCTCGGAAATTTCCAGCAAGACAACTGCAGGGAAGTTTGCCCCCGGCTCTTGATTTCAATGTTGCTGTCCTTTTCTGAGATATTGTCATCCATCCTACCTTCAAATGCTCTCAGGGCACAGAGGTGAGACTTAGAGGGTCCTCTGGTGCCCATCCCGCTGACATCCCCTCCCCGTGGTGACCCTCAGGTCCTATCATCTGTGGGCTGCTCAGCTCCCCCGACGTCCTGCTTTGTCACGGCCAAGACTGGATGGACCCCTCTGCAGCCCAAGTGAACGCCGCGTGTCCCGGGGCAACCTATGACCAGGAGAGCCGACGGCTGATGCTGCGTCTGGGAGGCCAGGAGTTTGTTGCGAGTAAGTCTCTGCCCTTTGTCCGTGTCCCCTCTGAAGTCTTCTTCCTACCAGCAATCCCCTCTGCTGCTTTCTTCTGAGCCCTCCCCATGCCCCGAGGGATTTATACTTCTGAAAAGAAAACCCCACCAATAATGCTGCGTGAAGACCAACCCCAGCATCACACAGCAGTCTAGAGGAAGCATTCATTCTGGCTGGCCAGAGGCAGGATGGTCCAGGGGGCGAGTCTGTTGCCCTCAAGAATCTTGAATCGGCCGGGAGTTGGCCGATCCCATCTGCTTTTGGTGGGGTGGTTGGCCCTGCTCTGTGAAATGTCTCATCCTCCTTCCAAAGGGGTGAGCCCTTCCGTCCGTGGCAGAAGCAGGAACAAGCAAGCCCCCTGATGAGGGAGCTCAGACCACTGTCTGAGATACACTGTCCTTTCTGCTTCCTTCTATTGGATAAAGCAAATCTCGTGGCCAAACCGGACGCCAAAGAGCAGGAAACAGACCCTGCTCCTTTAGTGGGGTGGAGAGGGTATGTGGGAGGGCTGCAAAGTCACATGCCACATGGATGACTACTGGAAGGGTGAAGAAATGGAGACCAAAATTCATTCTTCCCCCCACACCATTACCCCCGAGGCATATTTTCTCCTCTGTGATTTAAGACATTCCAGGGGGCATCAACTGCATTGCACATTCCAATTATGTGACAAAAGGGACTCAGAGCCCTGCTACCTGGGCTCAACTCACAGAAATAACCATCGAGCTGCCCCTTCCCCTATTTCTTCTGGAAGGTCTTCCAATCATTCTTTTATACACATGTATACCTCTGCCATCACCTGTCCCGCCCCCTCCGTGTACAGAGATGGGCGGTTGGTGCCTGAGTCCCCTGCCGGCCACGTCCCCTTTCTACCTTCACAGCCCTGTGCCGGCCCTCCCAGTAGACCCCACCTCAGGAAAAAGTGGATTGCCACTGTCCTGAGCTGGGGGCTGGCCAGACCAGCACTACTCATGGGGTCAGGAAGGATTGGGAGCTGGTGGAAATGCAGGTTCTTGGGCCCCACTCCACACCCCAGCGTGGGCTCTGGAATTTTTGCTCTAACAAGTGGTCTGGATGGTGCACCCACCTAGTAAGCTGAAGCAGTACTGATGGCCTGGAAGTTTCCTTACACCCCTAAGAGTCTGAGTGACGGTGAAGATGGAACCAGCTCTTCCCTCTCCTCCTTCCAGCTTCAGCGTGAGATTGAGGAGAGGCCCTGTGCCCCCACCCCGTTGTCTAATTATTTGCCAGCACCTGAACTCAGAATGTAACACCGTGATTCACTCCACCCTCTGAGTTGGGGGTGGTGAAAGGGTGCGTGGGTGTTGGCCATGGGCACCTGGTATGAGAGGGTCAAAAACGTCACCTTGGGAGCCCGTGGGGCTTCCTGTCACTGCAGGAAGTGGCTCCCAAGGCCTGGCAGATGCTGTCTCCTGCTTCCCAGCAAAGCTTCTGAGACCCACATCTGTGCATTCTGCCTTTCTCGGGGTTCTAATGGTGAAGAACTCAATGTCGCCTCCTATAAAGGCCCTCCCTGACTACCCACAGGGCTCCTTGCTTCCTCCACCGCGGAGCCTCACGCATGCTCTGTCCATTCTCTCCTAGGGCAGCACACAGCAGTGCCACCCTGGGTACGTGCCTGTCTGTGCGAAGTGTGCTTGTGATGCTGAATCCTAACTTGGGACACCCATTGTGTGACCTGGAACAGGTCAATGAATCTCTTCAGGCCTAATTGCCTGTCTATAAAATGGGGTTCATGACAGTACTCACCTCAGGGAGGAAGAAAGGAGAAACAACAACAATAATAATAACATTAGAAATGACTTAGGTAGCATCCACTCTGAGTCAGGCACCCCCCGAGGCCTTGACCTGTACTCACGAATCCGTTCCACAGAGCTTCAAGGGAGGCACTCTTAGTATCATTAGCCCTATTTTGCAGTTGAAGAAACTGAGGCACTGGAAGTTAGATAACTCCCCAAATCTCAGAACTTGTAACTAGGAGGGCTGGGATCTGAAATCCAGGCGTTCTGGCTTCCTAGCGGTCACTCTAAACCTCTCCTCTGTATTGACATTTGCAGACAATACATACAAAGGGCTTAGCAGAGTGCCTGCCACGTGCTCTTAATATTAGGTGATATTATTGTTATAATTTAAGTCTGCTGTTTTGTTATATTTTAAGAATTGAACTGTGTTTCATCAATTTCTGGATTCACACCACAGAGTGCAAAACCTGGCATAGAAAATACACCTATCAGTGGAGTGCAGAGTTACCAAATCCTGGAAAAAATACTGCAGAGTGTGGTGGAATTTCATGAGGCTTAAATAGTTTCTTTTGGGGTAAATAAAATAAAACCCTTTACTTACATGGTAAGGAGTGAACATATGGTATTCATTACTGAGAGGTAGGGCGGGGTGAGAACAGGCCTTTAAGGAAAGACATATATTGTATCCATGTGCAATAAGTCCATCATAAACTGCTTCACCAGGCACGTGCTTGTTGTCTGCCCAGAAATGAAGGCTGTGCCCTTGTCTGGCCTCCCAGAGAAGGGAGGATTACAGAAAGGCTTCTGAAACTTTTGGTTTTTTCCAGTGCCCTGTGTGTGTGTGTGCACATGTGTGCATGTGTGTTTATTCTGGGATGAGGGCACAGCTTGAAAAAGGGTGTCTTATGATGGGATTTCGGGTAGCCTGAGGTATATTCTTGATATTCCAATTTGGAACTTGCCTTTTCCATGGACTGATCAAGAAGCTACCCCCAACGGAGAACAACAGGATGCAGTCTTTCCTTTCCAAAATGAGAGATCAGCCTTTAAGCACACTTAACCCCTGAGAAAAGAAACAGTGATTTAAATTCTTACTAAAGTGTGGATAGCTGATAGATGTGCTTTCCTAAAATAGATATTGATGGTGAGAAAGAGGAGGAAGATTCCGGGGATCCGAACAATTGCTGGAGAGAGTATGTAGTGGATTGAAAAAGAGCAGGAGGACAGGAGCGACAAACTCCATCCCTGCCAAACTTGGCTGAGGGCTGGCTTCTTGAGTCTGGTTGAACAGTACATCAGATGATTGTTCAAATGTAGACTCCGGGATCTGTCCCCAGGATTCAGACACCGGCGTGAATGCCTCCCCATGGTGGGACCTTTCTGGGCCTGGGTCTTCCCAACTATAAGGTGAGGCCAGTGAAGACCTCTTTCTTATAGGACCGTGGGGAGGATTACAGGAAGAATCCTGTGGGCCACAGAATGGTGCCCACCAAGGCAGGCTCTCGAGGGACGCTGAAGGTTAAGAGCAAGGTCTGAGATTTAAATACCTGAAGCTCAGTCTTGCCCCTTCCCCTGGCTCTGTGACCTCATTCAAGACACTGAACCTCCCTGGGCCTCAGGGTCCTGATCTGCATAATGGGGCATTCGTTTATGCATGACCCAGTGAAAGCTGGCATGCCCTACAGGCTGTCGTAGGAGGCCTTGTTCCCTGTGTCCCCTGCCCTGGTTTCTGGTCTCCCAACCACACAGCTAATGAAGGTGCCCAGTGGTATTTCTGGATGTGGGCATCTGTCTTCACCAATCAGCTCATCACTACTGTCAGGGTATGCAGGGTAGCAGGTGGCCTGGTAAATGAAGAATTAGCACTTACTTGCAAAGCACCCGTGAATCGATCGCCAGGTATAGGAAGTTACAAGCCAGCAGAATACACTGAAGTCCAACAATAATCAAGTCTTGATATCACACTGCCTTGTACAAAGCACAGCTCAATGGATCCTTCCGACAGTCTTGTGAAACCGAGGCTATGTTATCATTTCTCCCATGGAGTGAAGCAGGGAGCCGTGATGGGACCAGTCTTCATGCTGGTGTCATGGCTGGGGCTCAGCCTTCAGCTTCAAAGACCGGGGCCAGTTTTGGAAGCTCCCACGTGTCCTTTGGTGCCATTCCCTGCTTCCACGGTCCCGTGTGAATTTACAGGAAGCAGAAAGCGCTTCAGAGTGGTCCCTGTCATTGTTACCAAAAATTAAGGAGTCTCTGACAGTGGACAGTGTCACTGCTCAGACATCTCGCTGGGGCCCGCTGGGGTACCGATGCCAGTTTACCGCGTGTTCTATTTTGAGGTTTTGAAGGGCTGTTGGAGAAAGAGAAGATTCAGGAGAGCTCTAGGGCCAGATGTGAGTTGCAGAGGTGGGCTGGGGGTCAGGGGTAGAGGACAGGAGGTGGTGAGCCTTCATCCTCACCCTCCTGCTGGTGTGCTCCACCCTTTATTCTGAGCTCCTGCTACATGGGTGTGTGGAAGGTCAGACTGGGCCCAGTACAGTAATTTCTGCTCTCAAGGAGCTCACAGGCTAGTTGGGGAGATAGACACAAAATTATTAAACATAGCAGGACTCCTGTTTGCTCACTGAGCGTGCTGATGAGGGATCACAGAAGTTTACTGGAGCATGTCTGTCCTCTGTCGGTAAAAGCCAACCAGGCTGTATCCCAGTCACCTGCCCTGCAAAAGTTTAGGGTTTACGCCCAATAAAGGCCCACAACAAACAGACACACACGCAAACAGCCCCACAAAGCACCTGGAGACTATCTTTATCTATTTTGATGACAGAGCCCTTTTGGCTGTGAGGTGTCTCTGTCCTATCATCGGTGACTCATGGCTGAGAATATGGACTTTTTCCTTGACCTTTGTACCTGGGTTGGCATGTGTTCTCAAGAGAGAACTCTCTCACATTTCCAGTGAGTACTTCTGAATGCTTTCCACTATTTTGTGCTGACCAGTTGGCCCTCCCATTTCTAAGAAAAGTGCCTTAGAAAGCTCTGGAACTGCATATGACTCATTTCTGACAGTATCGTCAGATTAAATGTCCCCTAATGCCCACAGGGACTTGAAAGTTGATAGATAACAAACGCTTTGGCAGAAATACGACCCGGTTCATTCTGAGTCCAAAAGGCTTAAAGCTGTTGAGCAGTTGTGAGTTTCCGCTCGGTGCCTGACTTTCCAAGGGGCTGTTGTGTGTCAGTGCTTGTCATTATCCTGGGGTGCCAGAAGCGAGGTGGAGAAACTCACAATGCATCTGTGACACTCTTTGTGAACAGATGCACACAGATTAGATGCAAGATGAGTACCTAAAAATAGAGTGCGTCTTTTATTTTTGAATCAGAGTCTCACTTGGTCACCCAGGCTGGAGTACAGTGGCACAATCACAGCTCACTGCAGCCTCAACCTGTGAGGTTCAGGCGATCCTTCCTCCTCAGCTTCCAAGTAGCTGGGACCACAGGTGTGCGCCACCAGTGCCCCGCAATTTTTTTGATTTTTTGTAGAGACGAGGTCTCACCATATTGCCCAGGCTGGGCTTGAAATCCTGTGCTCAGGCAACCCTGTCACCTGGGCCTCCCAAGCTGTTGAGTTACGGGCATGAGCCACCGCGCCCGGCAGGATGGACCATTTGCAAATGGCCCTCTTAGTGCTTTAGGACTGTCTTGGGTTGTGTGTGGCTGTGTGCTTAGTCCTGTGCTTTGTGTTTTAATTTGGGCTCTCCCAGAACCAATTTTGAGATGAAGATTCAGGACTGTGGCTTATTTAGGAAGGGCAAGGAACCGATGCGGGTCTATGTGGGGTGCGACACAGCCAGTAAAGTATGCTGAGACCAGTTATGCTCACCCCCAAACCAGGGCTAAATACCCTTCAGAACGATCCGGGGCCAGCTGGGCTGAGGAACTGGGGTATGTCCCCACCAGCACTTCACAGCTCTTGGCTGCAGATCCCTGGATGGCAGCACTTCTGGTGCTGTCCAGCCTGCGCTGTGACCAGGGCAGCTATGACTTGGCAGTTCCCCAGCGAGAACCTCGGCGTAGATCTGCGGTTCTCTCTGTGTGTCTCCTCCACAAATCTTCTGAGACCAGGAGATCAATGGTGTTGTCTCCATTTACTGAGGGAGGTGGTGAGGTGGAGGGACAGGGAATCCCCAAGGGTATTCAACTTGTAAGTTGCACAGCTGAGTTCCTTCCTCCATGGTCATTTCTTCAGCCCCGCTTCATGCTGAGAGGTGGAGAGGCTGAGGTCTTAGCATCTGGCTCCTGTTACGGAGGGAAGCTCACTGTCTACAGAGAGACGGATGTGTGGCCTCCTGGAGTGAGTGCCCTTGGGTGGGTACAGCTGGCCAACCTCAGATGGGCAGAACCTTTAGAGATTTTCATCCTCACAACATGCCTCCAGGGTACAGGAGTCTGGCCCCATCTGACCAGATCTCCCCTGTCCACATGGTTGTTTTGAATCTCCCTAAACCAAGCTAGATGCTCGGGATTTCTAGGTGATTCTAATGCTAATCTTTGATGACTGGAGATCTCTTCCCACACAACTCACTGGTGGATTGTAATGAAAGCAAGTCTGAATTCTGCCATCCGTCCAAGAAGTTATTAGCAAACAGACACAGAAGCTGTCGCAATCTGTAACCTGTTCAGTGGGTCTCGTAAAGTCCCCGTTCTGTCTTTTTCGGTGTTCCTATGGCATCGGGTTAAGAAGGTTTATTTAAGGCAGAACTGGTAATATTCTCACAGCTAAACTCAACTCACCTTTTCGTCAAAATCAGATGAACAGGAATCTTCCAGATCGGTGACTGGTCGAAGACTGATTTAAATTGAGCCAAGGCACTAGAGCAACTGGGCTCAGAATCCCAGTGGTTGAGAAGTGTTTGCCTGCATATAATCCTCTCTCTAGTGAAGTAAGTGAGACAGAGTGTGGGGGTTAGAGTCAAACAGAGGAGCTTTACATTCTGGCATCATCCTCTTCCGACTGTGATGCTTCGCCTGTCAACCAGGGACCTTCTCTGATAGCACGCCTGTGAAGTTTAAACCACGTGATATATGAAAGGTGTTCATGACACTGTTGGATACGTGATGGTGACCCTTCACCCATAACCAGCTCTTAATGATCATTAGAAACAAGATGTGATCATATCTGGATGGCTCACGCTGCTTACCAGCTAGCTCCTATGACTCGTGGGACAGTTTGCCCTACACTCTGGGTTCTCAGAACGATATCCTAGGCCTCCATATTGAGGGGAGATTGGCAGAAAGTGAGAGCTGAGGTCTTGCTGTGCTGCCTAAGCTTGTCGAACAAAAGAGACAACACTAACCATCAAGAAAGTGTGGGAAGTCCATGTCCTCCTGACTGGCATCCAGGAGAGTAGAGTTTGCAGGAAAGGAAAGTTTGATAATACTGGTGATACGTTCAATAATGGAGCTACCACCAAGCGGTTGCATATCAAATGGCGAGGATTCCAGAGATATTTTAAATCTTTTCCTTCCTTCCTTCCTTCCTTCCTTCCTTCCTTCCTTCTTTCCTTCCTTCCTTCCTTTCTTTCCTTCCTTCTTGCCTTTTGCTTTGAGTCAGGGTCTCACTCTGTCACCCAGGCTGGAGTGCTGTGGCATAATCACAGCTCACCACAGCCTTGACTTCCTGAGCTCAGGTGATCCTTCTACCTCAGCCTCCCAGGTAATTGGGACTACAGGCATGTGCCACTATGCTTGGCTATTTTTTTATTTTTGTAGAGGTGAGATCTTGCTTTGTTTCCTAAGCTTGTCTTGAACTCTTAGGCTCAAGCAACCCTCTCGCCTTAGCCTCTCAAAGTGCTGGGATTACCAGTATCAGCCACCGCACTCAGCACAGAGACAGTTTCTACATTATCCCCATCCTCATAATGACCATTCGCATTTACCCATGAGGCAAGAGTCTCAGGGAGTTAAGTGATGCCGAAAACTAACATAGCTCTGAGTCTCCCAGAGATTTGCTTTCTTCAAGCTGTTCTTCAGTTCCTTAAGTGATTCTCTTGAGTCATGAACTCAGAACTCCTCAGCAAAATAGTTCCTTTGGTACCCGGAGTATGACACCTGATCTGACCAGCTGTTTTTGTTTTGGTCCAGGGCACTGGAACAAAGGTCCAAAAAAAAAAAAAACTCTTGGGCTATACCTTGTATGGGGAACAGAATCTTTCTGACTGGGGCAGGGGAGTGGAACCATTGTGGTAATGATGGGTACCTGGTGAGCGCTACACTCACGCTCATGGAGACAAACATCTTTCTTTGCAGGTCTGATGCCTCAGGAAGGAACTCAAGACAGCTTGACCAGCTTCCAACAGGTTTATCTCTGGAAAGGTAGGCCCCACGGTGGGAGGCGGGGGGGTCCATAGGACGCTGATTACGTGAGATTGTTTGGCACCATTTCTCATTCTTGGGCACGCTGCTCTCGTAGAGAAGTGTGGAGAGGTTTCATTTCCAAGTGCATGTGTGCTCTCTATGGAACAAGAGGGCCCCGCGCATCAGATAAGATACCAAAGTCTACTAAGAAAATGAACAGTGTAGTGTGGAAAGCCAAGAAAGGAGGGGGAAGGAAGCAGCAGCTTCCTGTGAGATACAGTTCACAACCCACAAACGGCCCTTGTCATCGGGAGAGGAATTCTGTGCCCCTGCAAGCTGTCAGACATACTTGTCCAAGGGGACTCAGTCCCAGGGGCCTCTCTAGCCGGGGCTCAGGGCTCTAGGGTAGAACTCCAGGCAGGTGGGGCCCTGGACTCCTGTTTAGAGAGAAGGCCATCATAGGTGCACAGGACAGGGTGGGACAAGGTGGGGAGACCTGGGGACAGTGTACACTTGGTACTTCCTTTCTGCTTGTCTGTTCTCCTTCAAGTTTACTGGACATTGACTGAGCGCCTACACAGACCCAGGGACAGAGAAGGTCACTTAGGAGACAGACAAGTGAGGCACAGTCCTGACCCCTGAGGGGTCTGGACCTCAAGTGGGAGCAGACTAGGCAGTGGCCCATTACACGTCCTGCCCATGCGTGCTGGGGGAGAGACACGAGACAGGTCCCCAGCCCCCTACTGCCTCCCCGTCCTCCAAAGTTCCTTCTCTGATCGTTAGCAGGGATTGGTGATCTGCCTTTACGCCGACAAAGTAAAAGCAGGAAAGGGCAATGACTTGGAGTGACGGGTGTGAATTCTGGTTCCGTCACTCCCCACTCATGTGACCTGGAGCACATGGACCAGTCCTTCCAAGTCCGGATTCTCTGTGGGTAGCCGGAGATAAAGATGGCACTGATCTCAGGGAGTTGTGTGAGCAGTGATGCACCTCTCAAAGTGCTTCCAATGGTGCCCTCTGCCTAATAAATGCGAATTAATGTCAGTAGGGGTGGTGATGATGAAGAGGAGGGGAAGGAGGAAGGAGGAAGAGGAGGAAGGAGAAAGGAGGGGAAGGAGATAAAGAAAAGGAAGGTGCTCACCGTCATTTTCATCATCAATGATGGGACAAGATGGTGTCCTTTTCTCACTTAGTCACGCCTAGAAAGTAGCTCCAGAGAGGGGTGGCATTTTGTTCATTCTTCAGTCAGTGAAAAATGAGACTTGGAAAGGCAAAGCGGAATGCCCATGGGATGCCCCATCAAGGAGTCCCAAGGTGAGGTCCAGACACTGAGGGTGTGTCCCAAGTCCAGTGCTTCCCAGTTATCAGGAACATCTGGCATTAGCTGGTGGGAGAGGAAGCATGGAGTTCTCCCAAGGACATTTGTCTCAGTACAGGGAGGTGCCCCAGGGATCGTCACTCAGGAACGTGCCTGATACCTGCTCACCACACCCTCACTCTGCTGTCATGGAAGACCCTTTCCTGACTTGAGCATTTGGTTAATTTTCTAAAATTCCAACTCCTGTACTGACCATCTGAGTGGTCTGGAATAAATTATTTCCCTCTCTGAGTCTCTGTTGTCTCAAGAGAAGAATGGAAATCTTATTCCCTATCTGCACCCATATTTTTGAACATATGAGAGGGACCCAGAAAATCCCGGAATTTATTTATAAAAATGTATGTATTTATTCTTACATGTTTAAACGTCATTTACCTTCACAGTTCTCTCTGTTTCACGCGATACACTTTGAGATGCTTTTTCCACTGCTCAAAAGACTTTTTGAACTCACCCACTTTGATGCCTTTGAGTACTTTTACCATTTTTTAAATTCACCTTTTTCATATCAGCAAAATATTTTGCTTGAAGGACTTTTTTCATCCAGGGAAACAAGAAAAAGTCACTTGGGGGAGAGATCAGGTGCATAGGGAGGTTGAGACATGGGAATCATGATATTTTGGTTCAAAAACTGCTGAACACTCAGCATGGTGTGAGTATGTGTGCTGTCATGGCGGAAGAACCAGTCACCTATTTGCCACAGCTTGGGACTTTTCTTCCATAAGGCAGCCTTTCACAAAATGCTCGCTGGTACACTGATGCTGATGGGTTTTTTGGGGGTCCCCCTTGTATTTTGCTAACTCTAAAGGACTTTGCATATGTTAATGTCGACATCACAGAGAATAACAGTTCTGTTTCTGAGAGGAGGCATGATGCTCCATAAAAACCAGATTGCACACCTAGGGTGTGTTTCTGAGTGTGTCTTGGCCCTTGGCTGTGGCCACAAGGGTGTCCTACATTGTGGTGCAACTCCTCCTCTTAGCATTGCAACACCTCTCCTATTTTCCCTCCTAGACTCGGACATGGGTTCTCGGCCTGAGTCTGCGGGATGTGAAAGGATCACAGCGCCAAGGCCAGCCACTCCAGCAGAAACAGGTACCAACCCCGAGCCCGATTGGACACTTGGGTATCTGACGGTGGAGACAAGATGGGCTTCCAAGGGCCTAATCCATGAAGGGACTCATTGCCAGGGCTCTATTCTACGGCCTCTGACACCCTCTTGGCTTCCAACCCAGTTATCCATCTCATAAATGTGGGCAGCTCCTCAGATGGGCAACCAGCCTGGAAAGTAAGGCAAGACCATTGCAAATTGACCACTGTTGCTGGAAACAAGAACAACCATAATCACAAAACCAGAAGAAAAACCTATTAAAGAGCACGGCTCACCTCACTGTGGTCAGTGGCTTCACTGGGTCAGTCCTGAGGAGTGCAAGCATGATATAAATGTTCCGAAACTGTCTCATGAATGAGATGTCCACGAGAACCTTCTGAGAGTCATGCTGTGCAGTGGAAGCTCCGAGTCCCAACAGTAACAGGAACAGTGCATCCATCATGTTGGAGGCTTCTCGACTTTCGGAGGCTACCGTTATTACTGAGATGGAAATAGAACTGAGAGAGAGACAGAGAGACACACACAGAGAGAAAGAGAGAGACAGAGAGGCAGAGAGAGAGAGAGACAGACAGAGGGAGAGATAGACAGAGAGAGATAGGCAGAGAGAAAGAGAGACAGAAGGAGAGAAAGAGACAGACAGATAGGCAGAGAGAGGGAGAGACAGACAGAGACAAGAGAGAGACAGAGAAAGACAGAGAGAGACAGAGACAGATCAGTCACTCCATATGGACCTAGAAAGGATTAACAGACATCCACTTGTGGTCTGCAGTGTGTGTGTGTGTGTGTGTGTGTGTGTGTGTGTGTGTGTGTGTGTGTGTGTGTGATTATGCACCTGCACGCATGCACTGTAGGAATAGGAGGAGGAGGAAGAGGAAAGAGAAGAAGCAGATCTGCTGGCATGGGAGATGGCACAGTACAATGGCAAAAATGTCACATTACAAAGCAGAGAGACTAGAACTTGAGACACCTTCCCGCCACTGACCACATGCCACCACAGGCCTGGAGTAGTGTGCCTTCATGATAGGCACCTTGGATTCTGTGTAGAGTACAGGACCTTGTCTGCCTCTCATGCCACAAATGGCAAACACTTGGCACATTGCCTGGTGCTTACCAGGTGTGCCTTGCACTCCTGCCCTGCCTGCCTGGTTGGGCATTTGCCTTTGTGACGCTGAATCTCAGCAGCGCCTTTCAGGGGTGACCACACAGCCCATGTTGATGTAATTGAGAGCAAGTCTAAGGCACTTGAGAACATTCCACCAAGTCCATCATTACACACTATTCTAGGCCTGTGTTTCATGGGTCCCACAGGAAGTACCCCTTTCTTAATAGAGGGAGTGTGGCCCCACAAGAGACCTTGGGGGGATTCAGGGTGGACAGACACAACTCAGTTTCCCTTTCTCAGTTGATTGCATCTGGGCTTAAGGAGCTAAGTGCCAGCAGAGGGGACTCTGTGGAGTCAGGCTGGAGATGTCTCCCATGATCGACTACTGGAGCAGGGGGTGTCTCTTCCTGCTCGTCCACTGAGTCTAGGAACTTATGCCCCAGCTCATGCATTCAGGCCAGGGGAATCTACCATGTCCATTCACTGTGCGCCATCCTCAGGCTGTGCTGCCCAGTGCCCATGAGAATGGCCTCTGACTCGAAGCACAGTGAAGAATCCTCCCATTTCAGCCTCCAGATATTTCTATCAGAATGAACGTCCCTGTGTAACCCCTAACCATAACTCTTAACCCCTAACCCTAACCCTAACCACTACTCTAACTCTATCCCTAAACCTAACCCTCACCCTCACCCTCACCCTAACCCCTAGCCCTAACCTCTAACCCTAACCCTAACCCTAACCCTATCCCTAACTAAAGTTTCACAAGCACCTGGCAAGGCTGGAGGCTTGGTGTGACGGAGACCCCGGAGACCATGCTGCCGTCCCAGCTGGCCAACGATGGCTTCTCACTAGTCTGTGGATGTCCAAGGCCACAGCACATATGCCCAAAAATGTTGGGTAATGAATGAATACTGCAGCCACTCATTTTATACCTGATGTACTTGCCATGTTAGAAAAAAGTCCGGGGCAGATGCTGGGGAGGGGGTGGCAAAATGATTGGGGATGGGAGTCTCTGCCAGTGGGGGGCAGCAGGGGAAGGGGGATGCCAGACAGCCTGTGAGAGTCAGGAAGGGCTTCTCGGAGGAACCTGGATATGCCCGACACTCCTGGGGACACCTGGGAAGGTGTTCCAGGTAAGGAGAGGCCCTGTGTAGCAGCTTGGAAGGCAAGAGCGCTTGAAGGGGCTTCAGGTGTGCCTCAGTCCTGTGCCTTGTTTTTTCTCCCATCATTGGCTCTCTTGAGAGGTGATCCATGTTCACCCTGAGTCCCGCCTTGTGCCAGGCATGGTTCAGCCAAGAGACAGGATGGGACCCAGCCACTATATAATCACGTGGGATGCGAGTTGGGGTGGCAGCGTGGCATCTGGGGTCTCCGCCAGCACCAGACTTCTGGCCTTGTTAGTGAAGAGGCTGTGTCGTGAAGCCACTTCGTGGAGCAGGAGACGTGGGCTGCTAGGCATGTGCCTGAGTCCATGGCAAAGGGGGTGTACGTGGGATGCGGGGCCCTTATTTCAAAGCCCCGGATGAGTGAATATGCAGACATGCCCAGCTCCTCACCCTGACCTGCTTCATGCCCCCGTGTAAGTCTATCTGGAAGGATAGAGTCCTCAAGGGGGGGCAAAGCAATGGATAACTTCTTCCCAGGGACACAGGGTATCAGAGCAGGTGGGGACAGAGCTGATCATTTTTTTTCCCCTTTTTTGTTTCCTTTTTTTAAAAAAATTAAGGCCGGACTCGATGGCTCAGCCTGTAATCCCAGCCCTTTGGGAGACCGAGGCAAGTGGATTGACTGAGCCCGCAGGTTCGAGACCTGCCTGGGCAACTTGGCAAGATCTCGTCTCTACAGTAAATAAAAAATTAGCCAGGCATGGTAGCGCACGCCTGTAGCTCCAGCTACTTAACAGGCTGAGGTGGAAGGGTCGCCAGAGCCCAGCAGGTCGACATCGGGGTGGCTGTGAGCATGCCACTGCACTCCAGTCTGGGCAATGGAGTGAGACTCCAACTCAAAAAAAAAAAAAAAAAGAAAAGAAAAGTTGAATAGCTCTAGTATTCAAAAGTTGAATACAAGTGCTTTTTGGTTACATGGCTGCTTTATATAGTGATGAAGAAGTCTGGGCTTTAAGTGTCTCCACTGCCCCTACCTTGCACGTTGTACCTGACAGGCGATTTTCATCCCCCTCTTCTTTCCCCCTTTTAAGTCCCAGTGTCCATCATGCCATTATCTATGCCTTTGCAGACCCATAACTAAGCTCCCACTTATAAATGCGAATATGTGGTATTTGGTTTTCCATTCCTGTGTTACATAGGATGATGGTCTCCAGCGCCATCCAAGTCCCTGCAAAAGGCATCGTTTCATTCTTTTTATGGCTGAATAGTATTCCACGTATACAACTCCATAATTTTTAGGACCTCCTGGGTGTATATATATATATATATATATATATATATATATATATATATAGAGAGAGAGAGAGAGAGAGAGAGAGAGAGAGAGAGAGGAGAGAGACCTGCATACATCACACATTTTCATCATCTACTAAAGCTGACCTTTGAGACACAAACAGCACTCGTGGGGTAGGGAAGGATTATGGAGCAATTGCACAGGGCTGATAGGCTAGGGTGATGAGGGCCTGTGCACCGCCTGAGGGGAAACTGAGACAAGCGGAGATGAGGTTCAAGGTGCTGCTAGAACTCAGACTGTGAAAAGGGCTTGACTTCTCTTCTGCAGGGAGAGGGAATCCCAGGAAGAGCCTTGAGCTGAAGTCACGGTATATGCGGACACAAGGAAACACTCAGAGAATGAGGGTGGATTCCGGGTGTGGGTTGAACGGAGCTGGAAGCTGTCTTTATAGACAAAGACTGCCATTTGGGAGAGAGGTCAGACTTCCACATGGACATCGGAAGACAGAAGGAGGGTCAGCAGTTATAAGTAACAAAGAGGCTGGTGCAGTGGTTCATGCCTATAATTCCAGTGCTTTGGGAGGTTGAGGCAGGAAGTTCCCTTGAGGCCAGGAGTTTGAGCATCAGCCTGGACAACACAGCAAGATCCCGTCTCTAGCAAAAAATCAAAAACAAAAACCAGGAGTGCTGGTATGCCTATTGTTCTAGCTACTCAGGAGACTGAAGCAGAAGGATCATTTGAGCCCAGGAATTTGAGGTTACAGTGAACTCTGATTGTACCACCATACTCCATCCAGCCTGAGTGACAAAGTGAGACCCTGTCTCTAAAAAACAAAAACAAAAAAGTTACAAAGAGACAGATTTGACTCTCCAACTTCCTGACAATGGAATGGGCTGCCATGGTCAACACAGAGATGTCATGCAGGACTATAGGGACATTAGTCTGAAATCTCAAGGGTTAAAAGTCCTGTATTGGGTGACATGGTGACCCAAGTGACTTCTCAGCTTACTTCCAAACCAAGATTCTAAGATTTTGCAACTCCATAATTTTTAGGACTTCCCAGGGCCTATGGAACCATTCCTGCCTGACCAGACTCCCAACTTTCCTGACTTCAGTCCTGCCCTGGCCTCACACAACCTGAACATGTCTCTGTCTCCATCTCTTACTCTGTCTCTGTGTCTGGTTTTCTTTCATGTGTCTCTCATATTCATTGCAGAGATAAAGATGAAAGAATTTGACGCTTTTCTTATTTTTCAGGTTTGGCAACAGAACTGTTCTTCCCTGTGGACCTTGACCAGGTCATCATCAATGAAAACCGATCTCTGCCCAGCCAGCAGCACTGGCTTTTCAAACACCTGTTTTCAGCCCAGCAGGCAAACCTTTGGTGCCTTTCCCGTAAGTATCCTTAGCTCTCATCTTTCTTCTTCCAGACCCTGCGGTCAGGCGTTGCAGACCCGGTTTAACAACTCCTAAAAGACGGTTGAGATCAACCTCAGTGGCAGAATTCGGGTATTACTGCACTCTTAGTACCATGGGTCATATGGAAGAAAGGACATAACCCATACCTTCAAGAAGTTTACAGTGTATTTTGTCCCCACTCTGCTCCAAGAATCTATTATTCATTCACCTGCCCATCTATCCATCCATTTATCCATCCATCCATCCATCCGTCCGTCCATCCATTCATCCGTCCATCCATCCATCCATGTATCCATCTGTTCATCCATCCATCGATCCATCCATCCATCGATCCATCCATCCATCAATCCATCCATCCATCGATCCATCCATCCATCCATGCATCCATTTATCCACCCATCCTTCCATACATACATACATCCTTCTCCATATCCATCCATCCGTCCAGCAGTTATTGGGTGTACATCATGTTCCAGGTCTGTGTTTGACTTTGGGGGTTAAAACAACAGTAACAACAACAACCACAACAAAATGAATCAACTCTGTCTCTTGCCCTTGAGGCGGCTTAAGTATACCAGCAGCAAAGATGGACACAGGCATAGGACAGGCGGATCATTCACAAAGTTCCCAGCTTTTACAACCCTGTGATCTCTGGCCTGCAGAGCCTGACTGCCTCTGAGATGGTCATGGGTAGATCAATGGAATTCTCTCCTTTCGCCCCCTGTATTGCTGAGTTTGAGGCTTACCCTCTCGCCACTTTGACTCTGCCTTTATTCAGGGCCCCATGTCCCCCTCTCCAGCAAGCAGAACCCCAGAGATTTGGCTCAGGCCTTCCAGACTGGAGGGTCATGACTGTCTTGGACCTCTGCCCTAACTAGGAGGGATCCCTACCATGCATCTCCCCTGGAGGATCCCATAGGCTGATCCCCCTGCAGGCCCCCCAAGTACTAAAACCTACCTGCCCTCTTGCTTGTAGGTTGTGTGCAGGAGCCCTCCTTCTGTCAGCTTGCAGAGGTAACAGAGACAGCACCCTTGGCCTTCACCTGTGCCCTCTACCCAGAGGCCCAGGTGTGTGACAGCATCATGGAGTCCAGTGCCCAAGGCTGCACACTGATCCTGCCCCACAAACCAAAGAGCCTGTTCCGGAAAAAAGGTAAGTGCTTGGGGAATTTGCAAAAGCTAGACTTTGGATGGGTGCTAGCTCTGGGGGTTTAGACATATCCAGATTAATTTCTTTTTCTTTCAAAAGTAAAGTTATCCACGCTCCTTGTAGACATGTGAAGCCACTCAGAAATGCATCAAGTCAACTCTAGAGAATAATTTTCACTCCCAAGACAATATCTAACTGATATGTGTTGGTGTGTGTCAGTTAGAATTCTACTTGGCTGTTTTGTTTCGTTTTGTTTTTTTAGCAGCAGTGACTTTAACTACTTTAGAAGTTGATCTTTCTCTCCAAGCACATGAATGATGCCTTTTTTGGAGTTGTTTCCACCCTGTACAGTCTCTGTTTCCTTCCAGATATTGCCACCCTTCATTTATGTAAACTGTTTTATCTCTTTTGCTGGAGGACTTTTTCAGATGTCTGGTGACCCTTATTTTTCCACAAGCTGACTGGGCAACTGCAAGTGTATGGTGGGAGCTTGTTGACTTTAGATTTCTCTGTAGTGTAAGTTGGTTAGGCCACCCTTTGGTTGATCTTCGTTTCAATAGTTCTAGGTCCTCTCTCCAAAGAAATCTCTCAATACCTGGCCTGGAGGCATGAGCTTGGCTGCTAGTGGCTTGGGGACCAAATAAAGTCGGAAGGTGGAGTCTCAACATTCACCAACAAACTTGAAAAATTCTTCCACTTCCATGTGGTGCTCATGCCATTAACTTCATCTCTTGTACCCGAGAAAGCTTATCCTCTGTCCTCTCCAGAGCATGAAGCTTATGTCTCATTCCACAGTGGGGAAGGGGCAGCTGTCAACTGTGTTGTGCAGAGGAGTATCTCTGGAGACCCCATTCCTTCGTAAAGTAGCTTTTCAGCCCATCCTTCTGTTGTGGCCACCTCCATCCTCAGTGCTGCCAATACCTAAACCTTGCGGGATTTCAGAAGGCATAATGAGTTGGTTCTTCCCACAGAAAAGTTGAGTCAGCTTTCTTGGGTCCATGAAGTCCATTTGTATTTCTCTATGTGCTTTCCAGCTTCCAAGTCAAGAGTCAACACATGAATTTAATACACCATCTCTAATTGGAGGCGCTCGGTCTGTTTTTCATTCCTTTGTCCTCATATTTTTGGGGATATGTTGAATCTCTAAAGAATATAATTTCTTCCCCTGTGCAGTTGTACTGCAAGATAAAGTGAAGAACTTCTACACTCGCCTGCCATTCCAGAAACTGACGGGGATTTCCATTCGAAACAAAGTGCCCATGTCTGAAAAATCCATTTCCAGTGGGTAAGCTACTTCTGCCCTGTCCCCAATATATATCATTAAGACTCTTCTACTTCCATAAAGACGGGGAAGTAGTAACTGTCATAAGCAGAAGCAGCAAAGACAAAAAACAGAGCAAAATAAACAAAAAAACACATAAAACCCAAAGTTAAGGGGAAAAAGCTAATAAGGTGGTAACCATTTCTTTAAAATTTGGCTGGCCGGGTGCTGTGGCTCACACCTGTAAACCCAGCACTTTGGGAAACCAAAGCTATAGGATTGTCAGAGCCCATGGGTTTGAGACCGACCTGGGCAACTTGGTGAGACCTCATCTCTACAAGAAATCAAAAAATTAGCCTGGAAATGTGGTGCACACCTGTAGTTCCAGCTACTTGAAAGGTAGAGGCTGCAGTGACTGTGAGCAGCGTGCCACTGCACTCCAGCCTGGTCGACAGAGTGAGATTCTGACTCAAAAAAAAAAAAAGCTTGGTTAAAGTAACTTACTGATATTAAACAAAATTTAACCTGGAACCTCCAGTTGGTCACTGGAAAAGAGACACTCTGCTCTATAGCTCATTAATAAGAGTTATCAAATATGACAATCTACCCGATCCTGAAAGCTTCACATTGCTGGATTCAGAATCTGTAGAGTATGTAGAACTTTTAACATCATCATAGCTTATAAAGTGCTTTTTGTTTATTTTATTACTTATTTTAAACATTTTTTTTTCCATGTACTTGCTTGGTTGTTATTTAGCTATTTTCCTTACAGGCGATGTGTCTCTCGGCATGGCCCAAAGAACGCGCCTATCAGAAGCACCAAGGGCGCTTTTTATAAACCATATTTCTGGGTCCTATTCTGGGCCTGCCCAAATCAGCATTTCTTGGGGTGGGTTCCAGAATCAGAACTTTAAGGAAGCCCCACCCCCTCACACCCCTGGTGATTATTTTGTACTTTAAAATTCAGAGCCACTCATCCGTGAAAGGTTGATCTCTGAAGTGCTGTGGAGATACCAAACAGAATGTGTTTTGAAAACAGAGGGAGGAGGATGACAGGCTAGTTTGTCTTGAGGTCTGGCTGGCCACTGCCTTGCTAATGGGAGGGGTTTAAGGAAAGGAGGGTTGGGGCCAGGGTCAGCTGGACCATGGAGCTGGGATGGGAATTAGGAAAGCAGAACTTATGCATCCGGACTCGGGGAAGTGTCTAGGCTGGAGGTTAGCAATGAGCTTCCAAGAAAGGGAACAGGAAGAGGTAGGTGGGCAGGTGTTCAGGACTCAGGGCACGGGAAGGACTGGGAAGGGGCTCACAGACATCAGGGTGCAGATGTAGCCATCACTGGAGAGGCTGTCCCGTGGAGGGAAGCTTCACTCCTGGGATGTGACTTGGGTTCAGGGAAGGATAGCAGTGAGAACAAGGCAGGGTCTTCACCCCGAGAAGAGGGTGAGGAAGCTCTCAGGACTTAGGAATGAGTGACACATGGTCAGGCCAGGGAATACTTAGACTTGAACCCAGGAGCACTGGTTTGGAGCCATTAAGTCCCTCCTGCCATGACCGGTCCCAGAAGCTGAGGGTGGGCCCTAGTAGCTGCATGGAGTAGATGAGAGACAGATACTGGGTGAGCCTAGATGGGCTGACCCAGAATAGAGAAATGTGTTCGTAGAGTGTGATTCATCTGTGCTGTGCAGTGAGTGAGAGAGGAAGCCAAGGGGCCATAAACTCAGCTCCTGCCCTTTCAACGGGCCCCTGGTTGGGTCACCCTGACTGTACATAAAATCTCCCCTTTCTAAAAACACTTTCCTGACTGTTTCTTCCTTTTCTCAGAGACCAAAGCTGAGACTTTCTGCTTCCCTGAAAGGATTGTGGGAGCCCATCCGGGATCCCAGGTTGGCTTGGCTTGGAGCCTGGAACAGCACAGGCTGAGAATATAGGCGGGATGGGTACATGTGTGGATGAACAAAGATGGAAGACAGCATTTCTGAGAAGACTAGGGCTTTGTTTTCAGAAAAACCCTCGAAGCTGGGAATTCTCTCAAGCACATTGGCCCAAGCACTCCCAGTTTAGGTAGTCGTAAAGAAAGCTGCCTTCCAAGAGCAAGAATGACTAAACTTCAGTCCCCCAGTACGTCCCGGGCCACCAGGGAAAGCCTTCAGGCTGGTTCTTCATCCTTTTCCCCCAGGTTCTTCGAATGTGAACGTCTGTGTGATGTGGACCCGTGCTGCACTGGCTTCGGTTTTCTAAACGTTTCCCAACTAAAAGGTAACAGTGATAACAATTCCCTCTATAGTTCCCTCTACAATTCACTTTATAGTTCAGGAAGCACATTCATATCAGCCTAAGTGAACCAACTCAGGAACAGAAAACCAAACACCGCATATTCTCACTTAGAAGTGGGAGCGGAACTAAGGGTCTGCAAAGGCATGGAGAATGGTATCATGGACACTGGAGACTCAGAGGGGGAGAGAGAAGGGATGAAATGTCACCTATCAGGTACGATGGGCATGGGTAGGGGAGGGGGGCTACACGTAAAGCCCAACCTTCTCAGCCCCTGTACAATGCATTCACGCCACCAAAAACTATTTGTACCCCTAAGGCGACTGAAATCGAAAGAACACACAAATAAATACTGTAAAAACGAACAAAAACAAAATAAAGGAAAACAAATTCACGTCTATGATCTCATCTAATCCTCAGCTTCTTCTCCAGTGGGCAGTCAGGAGTAAGCCTCGTTCACAGATAAGGCAACGGGCATTTGGAGAGGATGGTGGCGAAGGAATGTGACATCTGGGATGTGGCTCCCGGTTGAGTGACCATCAACTTACACATGCCATTCTACCTGTCTGAACTTCTTTCCTTCCACACTTCACTTAGCTGTCTACCGTGGGCTTTCGGGACCTGCATTAGGCAGCTCGGTGAACTTTGGATCCATCCATATGCTCTGAATTGAAAATCTGGTTCATTTCCTGACTAGTGGACACATCACTTAATCTCTCCAAGTCTCAGTATCCTCATCTGTATGAGGGTGGACCCCAAAACGACCAGAATTTATTTATGAAAAATTGTGCATTTATACTTACACGTTTCAACTTCAGTCACCTTGGAAGCACTCCCCGTTGGATGTGATACATCTATTGAGATGCTTTTTCCACTGCTCAAAACCATTTTTGAGCTTGTCATGCCTTTGAGTGTTTCTGCCCTTGTTTGTTTCACCTTTTCCACATTGGCAAAATGTTTTCCTCTGAAGATTTTTTTCATCAGGGGAAGGGAAAAAAAGTCACTAGGGGAGAGATCAGGTGAATAGGGAGGGTGGGGAGTGGGGGTCATGCTGTTTTTGATAAAAGGAAACTACTGAACTCAGCGTAGTGTGGACAGGTGCTCTTGCTAATCACCCATCATGAAATGTGCAAATGCGTTGAAAGACTAAAAAAAAAAAATCAGCTAGGCGTGGTGGCTCAAGCCTATAACGCCAGCACTTTGGGAGACCAAGGCAAGAAGATTGCCTGAGCCCGCAGGTTTGAGACCAGCCGGGAAAACATGGTGAGACCTTATCTCTACAATAAATAAAAAAATTAGCTGAGCATGGTAGCGTACATCTGTAGTTCCCACTACTTGGAAGCCTGAGGCGGAAGGATCGCCGGAGCCCAACAGATTGAGGGTGCAGTGGCCGGGAGCATGCCACTGAATCCAGCCTGGGCACCGGAGTGAGACTCCTACTCAAAAAGAAAGAAAGAAAGAAAAAAATCACTGAAGCTGAATGCAACCTCTCACAGCCATGCTAGCTGGTACACTGATACACATGGATTTCTAGAATACTTCCCTAGCAGGAAAGTCTGTACAACACAAGGCCCACCCTTTCAAAGACAATACCAGTTTTTTGGAGGTCCCCCTTATACAGATGTTATCTTCCTCATAGGGTTGTCCAAGGACCAAGCAACATGATGCAGGTAGCAGCCTTAGCACATCCTGGGCATGTGATAGTGCTTGATACATATTAACTGCCTCTCTGTGCTCTTGTGTCAGAGGCTTCTGAAGTTCAGGTAACAGGTTTTGTAGCAGTGGCTAAAATCCTCCCTGAAATACAGAAGCTCACCCCAAATGTCTGCTGAACAGTGGTTCTGTAGACTTTCTCTCATTCAGTTAGAATCTTCCATCGTGTTGATTTTTCCGGTCCTGGCTGTTTTTGTTCCAGGAGGGAAGGTGACGTGCCTCACTCTGAATAGCTTGGGACTTCAGACGTGCAGTGAGGAGAACAAAGGAGCCTGGCATATTTTGGACTGTGGCTCTCCAGACATCGAAGTCCGAACCTATCCCTTTGGATGGTACCAGAAGCCCAGTAAGTAACCTGCCCAGAACAGCTATATGGGTCTCATTAGCTGATTATTTTCCAGTCGTGCATTAGGATGGTGTCTGTGAATTGAGACGTAGATTAGTTAGGATTCATTGGGTGCAAGCAATAGAAATGGACTCTGTTTAACGTAAGCAGACAAGGAATTTATTGCAAGTCTGCTCATTGACTCAGAGGAGAGATGACCAACCAGGTCTAAGGAACAATGGAAATGGACCAACTCCACAGAGGTATTTAGTAAGAACAAATGGACGATTGTCCCATGTGCTTTTGTCATCATGGCTCTGTTCCATAGGGTTTGGTTGTTACATTCAAGCCTTTAAATTCAAGAGAGACAGTTTAACCTCACTTGGGCTATGAGTCTACCCACTGCCTGAGCGGGGGGACAGCTTGACGGTCCCAACAAGACTATATGCACCAGGGCAGAGGATACTTCTCAAAGCATAGTGAAGATAGAGTTGCCAGACAGGTAAAATCAATACATGTGGACTCTGCCAGGTTTCCTTGGTTTTCTCACCCTGTCAATCAATCAGGTCAATGGTAGCACATGGCAGTCTCGGGGAGGGAAAGGGGGACACCCAATGTCTCTTTGGCAACACACAGAGTTAGGATTTCAGGACCAAGACAGCATTGGCCCTGTCTTGGAAGCCATATGTGCTGATAATATTAGGACACATTAGGACACATTTTAGGAGCTCAATTTGAAACTGATAGAGGGATAAATGAATGACCTTCACTCCGTGGTGGAGAAGCTACCAAAGAGGCAGCATTAGTGTCTTCCCAACTCCATCATCTATCTTGGGTTTGTCCTGAGGAAAGTCTCACTTTTATATCCTGAGTGTTTCTGGCGTGGGTAGAATTGAAGAGTGGTGGTCAGTTGCATGAAGTCAGACATTCTCGTCCTGCGTCCCAGAAGCAAATTCGCAAAAACGTCTCAGATTCAAACCCCGTCTGTCTTAGAAGGAGTCAAATGGAGAGGCTTAGCTGAGTTTTAGTATTCCCAAGCTCTCCCACTAGTGGCTTCTTCCTTAGTTGCATAATAAAAAAATGCGGAATTGGCTGGGCTTGGTGGTTTAGCCTGTAATCCCAGCGCTTTGGGAGGCCGAGGTAAGTGGATTGCCTGAGCCCATGGGTTCGAGACCCACCTGGGCAACTTGGCGAGAGCTCGTCTCTACAATAAAAAATAAAAAATAGCCGGGTGTGGTAGCACATGCCTGTAATTCCAGCTACTTGGAAGGCGGAGGCGGAAGGATCGCCAGAGCCCAGCAGGTTGAGGCTGCAGTTGCCGGGAGCAGCTACTGCACTCCGGTCTGAGTGACAGAGTGAGACTCCAATTAAAAAAAAATGCAGAATTGGTACTAGCCCTTGCCTGGCACTTGCTCTAGAAATTAGAGTCATGGATTGTCTGATCTGGAAGGAGTCTTAGAGATCCATAACTTTGATCACCAAATTCTTTACATGACCCAACATGATGGTTTGTCCAAAGTAGGCGGAGCGAGGACAACTGACATTCTTTGTGGGCCTACTGTGTGTCAGACACAAGATAGCTCTACATGGGTTATGTCACTTAGTATTCGTGATACCACTAAGGAGTGGGTATTATTTCCTCTATTTTAAGAAGAGCAGAGTGTAGCCTAGAAAACTGAAGTTTCTTGATTCAAACCACATAGCTAGTAAAAAGCAGATTCAGCTTGCAAGCCCAGATCTGTTGACTCCAAACATGTATTCTACCCCTTTATGGTGTTCTCTCCTGGTGGGTCTTCTGTAACCCATAAGAGATTGGATAAGGAAATACCTAAACACCTTGTCTGATTGTTTTTTCCCCCCAACTCAGTTGACTAACAAGCAATTGACTCATTAACTGGGGAGAAAAAAGACAAACTACCAAACCAAACCAGTTGGTGGTTTGGCCTCTTGTTCCAGAACTATATCCAGCCTGAAAGGTTCAGGTGGGACTACAGGGTAGAATCTGGCCCCGGCCCTTGTCTGTGAGCCTACCAATCCCCTGTGTATGCTTTGACTTCATGGCAGATGGTTTTTGGAGTTAATTATTACCAGGCTGAATGGAATCTTTTTGCTAATGTCTACTTTCAACATCCTGTGATTTGATCTGAATTCACTCTATTGGCTTTTTATTTTATTTTAACATCTTGAATTATTTTAGGAAAAACATCATGGTTGTATAATGAAATAGCCTCAAAGGGTTTTTATTTAGGAAGGAATGTTCCATATATATATATCAGTCTCCCTTCTTTAACTCCTAGGGGAGGTGAGAGAATTCTGCCCAGGACTTTGACCCTGAAGGAGGCCCAAAGGCATCTCTGGGTATCTGGGAGTGTCAGAACTGAATGCTCACCTCCCAATGCCTCCTTGCCTAGTCTCTCCTCTCACCGCCTCACCTCACCAACATCTAAAAAAATGCCATTTTCCATCTTCATATTACTCATGGAAGAATTGGGTAAAAAGAGGCTTAAGGCATAATTCATTTGTTCAGAAGTATAACAGGAATCAGACTAGAGTGTTACAATATCTTGACAGGAGTTGGCAAGAAAAAGAACCCAAGGTACTCATTGTCCCAACTCATTGCGTCTGTTCTGTTTCTTTTCGTCTGACTGCACAGACCTTTGACTTTTTCCAACCTATAATCTGTAGGATAAATCTGGGGACTCAGGAGTTTTGACCAGAAATGACATGGCAGGGAATTAAAAATTCACAGAGGGGCTCATTCAACAAACATTGACTGAGTATCAACTTATCAAGGGGCCCTCCGCTGCTATAAATCTAGCCTCTGTTTATTTGGGCTTTTGCTATATTCCTGACTTGAAGACAAACACCTTGTAAGCATTATCTCATTTAATCCTCACACCCATGTCAGGTGAGAAAATAGATGTTCAGGCAGGTTAGATCTTTTATCCAAGGTCACTCAGCAGCTAAATTACAGAGTTAGTATTTGGATCCAGGTCTTTCTGACTCTAAATTGCTGTATTATATGGCTCAGTGTAAGACATGATTCCTGACCCCCCAGGCACTCACATTCTAAAGAGGATTTACAGACTATAAATACATAGACCATTCTGGTGCTGGATCTCTCATATTTTAAGAAGTTCTGAAGATTTACTGAGTGTCTATTTTGGGCCATGCACTGTACTAGGCACAGGGAAAAAATGAGATTAACAAGATATAGTTATTTTCCTTAGATGCTCACAGCCTCATGAGAAAGGCACAAGCAAATATGATAAAATTTAGCAGAAAAGACTAAGTATTAGAATGGTTTCATCAATAAAGTGTCAAGGGAACACAGGAGAAAAAAATAATTCTGCTAGGGTGGTGTCTTAGTCTGTTTTGTGCTACTTTATCAGAATACTACTGTATGGGCAATTTATAACAAATGGAAATGTATTGGCTCGCGGTCCTGGAGGCTGGGAAATCCAATGTCAAGGTGCCGGCATCTGGCACGGGTCTTCTTGCTCATTGTTTTACGGAGAAATGTGGAAGGGCAAAGAGAGAGAAAGGGGGCTGAACTCACACTTTTAGAGTGGTATTAATTTCTCCCATGGTGTAATCCTCTCGTAAAGGTTCCACCTGTTAATACTGTTACAATGGCAATTAAATTTCAACATGTGTTTTGGAGGGGACCAACAATGAAACCACATAGAGGAAGCATGGATGTCTGTTGCTGCAAGTCTCCTGAGCCTCCTTTCAGCCTCTAGGCCCTGCTTCTGCAGTCTCCTGTCCCTGCTGACTCAGAGCTGCCCAAGCAAGTGCTCTTTCATTTACACTGGACGCTGCTGGCTTTCAGTGTTGGGGGACATGGGGAGAGAAAGAAGAGGTGCTACAACAATATCACTTCTTCATTCTTCCATCCGTGAGCCCCAAATAGAAGACACCTCGGGAGGCACATGGCTGATGGGCATTCTGGTGTGAGTGACCCTGTGTTTCCCATTTCAGAGTAGGAGGAGGGCTGGCTGTCACAGGGCAATGATGACATGGTACGACATGACTCTCCAGCAGGGCGAGACTAGGTCCTTTCCCCTTAGTGGTCTCTCTCAGAAGTGGGTGGTGGGGTAAGTCTTATCTCTTCCTAAGACCTAGGCAGAGAAAAAGAATTTTCCTTAAGGAGATTTTTTTTTTTAAGCAGGGTCTCACTCTGTCATCCAGGCTGGAGTGCAGAGGCAGGGTCACAGCTCACTGAAGCCTCAACAAGAGATTGGTTTAATAAATTAGACTCCTCGCCTAGTTGGGTCGTGTTGACCCATACAAGACCATCTTTTGATTTCTGATATATTTTGAGCCAAAACATACATACCAGCTAACTTCTGAACATTTAAATGGTTTTAGATTCTATTTTCCCTAGTTGATAAAACCATGCCAGATTACTGTTGGAAAATCTCATTGCTGAAGCTGACATTGTCATTGTTTTTTCTAATTCTTATCTCTGTGTTAGACAATCGCACACATGATGGTAGAAATAGAGCCTCACAGGATGGGTAGAATCCTCTCCTTCACTTCAGTCAGTGCTGGCTCAGGAGACATACATTTTCACAAAGGAATTCCAATGAAGAATCTCAATCATGGCCTTTGGCCTTGCTTCAAACTCAGGGTTTCGTCACTGAGTGCAGTAACAATGTCTACTCTGGGCAATTACCATGAGCCCATTAACACTAGGTCCCCTGTTTCTGAGAAATTACTAGTAGGAAAGATCAGGAACTGAGATTTATTAAGTTCTGACTGTGTACCAAACACTTTGGAGGTATGGGGGAGGGGCGTTGGGGCGGTGTGGGCAGTTGAGAGAGCAGAAGTCCCTGGCCATGACTGACAGTCTAAGGAGGCAGAGACAAAAGAAAAGGAACCTTTCTTAAGCACCTACTGGATGCCAGACACAACTCTAAAGGGGTCTCTCTGTGTTGACCGACTCATACCCCCTGGGAGGCAGATGCTTGTCCTCTCCTCATCCCAAGAGATAATCATTCTCTCTGTGATCAGAGACT